TATATAACTGTTACATGTATGGAAGACTGCACAATAGGAAATAGTAATAATTGTACTTGTAACTTATACACAAGTAGTGGGGTTCCTTGTCACCACATGTTGTATTATAGGTTTTTTAAAGAAGATAATTTTCAAGACAGTAGATGTCCGATTGGGTATTTCTTGGATATCAATTCGATCATACGTCCAATTGTAAAATGCCAGAATAACACTCCTGTACTATTAAAGGCAGATTTTAAAGCCAATTTATTTATAGAAAACACTACTGAACCAACTCATGAAGTTAGAATAATCACAGAAGAAAGAGAAATAACTAGAGGTGATATTAAAAAGAAATTGTGTAATGTTGCTAATCTATTAAGCCGAAGAACAATATTTCAAAATGCTGTGGAATTTTTACAGATTATTGAGAATTGTAAAAGTGATGATACTCAATATAAAAATGGGGAAATAAAGGATCCAAAATATGTCAAATGCAAAGGAAAACCCAAAACTATAACATCCAAATTGGTTGATAAGTCCCTTCGGTTCAAACATTTCGATAAAGAAAAAAAACCAAGAAGACCAGAAAAATAGTAAATAAATATTTTTTTTTGTTTATTCGAATAATTTTTTATCGAACTTAATGTACATTAGAAATATAGTTTTTATTTTGTGTAATAATTAAGTACTATAAAAAATTATAATAACAACTACTATTTCTAGTTATAAGTGTGATAAAAATGTAGTAAATATTAATTATAAATTACTATATAACAAAAACATCAACGTGTCGTGTTTGTGTTTAAAAGATATCCATCTAATATATATATATTAATATATATATATATTCTTATTAATATATATTATTCTTATTAGTACTTTTCTTTATTTGCTTTTAAATAACTTAAATAGTAAAAATTAGATATTTTTTTATTGGCTTAAAAAAAATTAAAAAACTATTTTAAAAACAAAAAGACAAATTCTATATTTTTAATTAAATAATTTATATTTACAAACTTTTAAATAATTGCTAATTATTAAGCTATAATACATTTCGATTAAACAATAATTCATACAATCGTTGAAAAAGTCTCAAAATAGAGTCATGTTAATCCCAATAGTACAAGAAACTAAGAAGTATAATTATGTTGAAATATGCTGGTCATGTCTTTACAGAGATAGTACCTGGCTTTCTTTATTTATCATCTTCGTTGCCCGTAGCAGACAAAGACTTTCTTCTTTCGTATCATATTCGGAGGATAGTTAATGTGTCGAAAACCATAGCTAATGCGTACCCAGACATTTTCGAGTATCTTACCATTCAAATTGAAGACGACAAAACAGAGGACATAACACGCTATTTTGAGACTTGCTTTTACTTTCATCGACAAAGGCCTTTGTGACAAGAGTGCAACATTAGTGCATTGTGAGTGTGGGATCTCACGCAGTCCCTCCTTTGTAATTGGCTACTTAGTCGCACATGCTCAAATGTCTCTCAAAGAAGCTTGCACATTGGTTCTTTCAAAGAAAAAAAATGTGAGTCCAAACAGTGGCTTCTTTCTTCAACTCATTGACCTTGAGGAAAGTATCACTCACAAGAAGACCACATATCCTCTTTACGATTTTTTGGCAGATCAAGTCACAAAGTCACTTTGCTTTATGTATGACAGAGACATTGTTTATAATGCAGTCGTCGACTCTACTGGCAATATAAAGGCTGCAGTTGATTTTCTATTGGGCTGTAATTTCAATTAATTAAATGGTTTAATTATAATAAAATTGTTTTTTTTAAATAGTAATTAAATATAATTTGATTATAGTAAATTTATTATAACTTAATAATAATTAAATATAATTTGATTATAGTAAATTTGTTATAACTAAATAGAAATTAAATTTGGTTTGATTATAATAAAATTATTAGAGCTAAATAATAATAAAAAGTGGCTTTAATTTGTTTTCGAAAGTCTTTTAAAGTTGACCTGTGGCTTACAAAGTACTTGTGTTTTCTCAAGAATGGCGGTCTCTTTAATTTCGAATTCCTGGTTAACAATTTCGGTGTTAGCGTCTTTATTAAAGGATAAGAGGTACTTCCCTTTTTCACAGATCCACGTGTTATCTTCTTCATAATACCCCGCAAAGTCTCTGAATGTCATTTCAAAGGACATTCTTTGTTCCTCGCCACTCTTCAGACATTTGGTCTTATCAAACCACCTTAACTCACGTTTTGGTCTTTCAAGAAGTCCATCAGGTGCTGAGATAAATAATAAGACGACTTCCATCCCTTCGACTTTCCCACTGTTTTTCACAGTGACACTCCCTTTCACTGTTTTCTCTTGTTCGTTGACTTCAACGTGTAAATTGTTATACTCGAAAGTTGTATAACTCAGCCCATACCCAAATGGGAAACTCACTTTAGTATTAAAAGTGGTGTAATAGCGATACCCAACATATATGTCTTCTAAATGTATTACTTGAGCCCCATTCTCCTCTACTGTACCCGGGAATGAATACCCAGACACACTCTTTAAATCTTTCACAAATGTCATCGGAAGTCTTCCACTCGGGTTCACTCGCCCAGTTAATATATCAGCAACACCACAGCCACATTGCTCTCCATTCACCCAACACACTACTATCCCATCAACTAAGTCTTTCCAACTCTCCGTCTCTATCACTCCACCAATGTTGAGTACCACAAGTACTTTCTTCGACTGCGCTCTATATATAGAACTCACTTTCTGTATAAGACTTTCCTCCGTCGGTGTTAACGAAAAACTCTCTTTGGACCGATCTCGGAATTCTCCAGTACATCGCCCAATCACTATTAACGCAGAATCACTCGCCGCACTCAGTTGAGTCACTTCGGTCTCGGTGACGTCGCGCTCGTCATAGTCTTCAGTCAACTCGAAGATCTCAAACTTCTTCACTGGCCTCTTCTTTTGCTCTTCAATGTGTTTGAAGTACTCTTCAGAGTATGTCACATCAATCCCACTCTGTTTCAACCCATCGACGATATTAGTACAACTCTTGTAATACACGTCGCCACTCCCAACTCCACAAACACGCGGATAAAACGCACAACATCCGAAGACAGCAACTTTGTTGTGTATTGGCAAACACTTCTCATTCTTTAATACAACACACCCTTCAGAAACAGCGCGACGCGCGACTTCCGTTGGATCGATGTGGAGACTCTCCGGCTCGTGTTGATTCACTTTTGCACAGAACTTCTCTATTGCTATTGCGCTCTCCTCTATTTTTAATGAAAGCTCTTTATCACCAGATTTCAAGGCGTCGTCAACTTCAGTGTACGCCTTAAGTGTTCCAGGCTCAATTAAGTTGTGTCCGGATTTGATGACCTCAACACCCGAATCGCCAGCAAACCAATCGGTCATGACAAGCCCATCAAACCCAATTTCTTTCAGTAACATGACGACTTCTTTGTTCTGGCTACAATACTTCCCATTCACTTTATTGTACGCAGTCATCGCAGCAAAGGGTTTCGCCTCAATGGCTATTCTAAAGTTCTCCAAATAAATCTCACGAAGTGCTCTTTGCGAGATGATCACATCAATTTTCATGCGCTCAGTCTCTTGATTGTTGCAACAGAAGTGCTTCACACATGCAGATGTCCCAGTCGACTGAACCCCCTTCACATAGTGTTTGGCGATCTCTCCAGCGACGCGGGGGTCCTCAGAGTAATATTCATAGTTCCGCCCACCAAGAGGATGTCTGTGGATATTCAATGCCGGTGCTAATAAGCACCCACATTTGGCTTGACAACAGTCTTTTCCAATCGCGCGGCCTATTTGGTAAGCCAAATCTTTTGAAAATGAAGACGAAATTGCGGTTCCCGTTGGGAAGGCGGTGCTATAAAACTCATTCTCTTTAAATTTAATATCACTGTAAAATTTCGTGTACTTTTCTCCTTCACCTGGAGGCGCTATACGAAGACCAGCAGGGCCGTCGGCTAATACAACCGACTTGTTGTGTTCAGTAGGAAAAATGATACCAGCAGCACCAGGAACTAAAGTTGAAAATTCCTCTGGTGTTGGGGGGAATGGCGAGTCTCTCTCGATGGATATATAATGGCCAAATACTTGTCGCTGCTTTTTTGAAAACGGCAGTGGTTCCATTTTTGAATATATAGTTTGAGCAAAACTTTTATAGTTTCAAACTTGACTCAAAAGAGTTCAGAAAGGATCGAATACATTCTTTTTATATGGAAACATTTTTACTATTAATTAATGGTAATAATATTATAATTATATTGTTTTTTTCAATTTGTCTATCTTGTCTTACATTGTAACAAGGTCACAAATATTATTCTTTATTAATGTAAAGGATAATTACTGTCATAGAACAATCTTCAAAATAGTTTGAGGAATTGTTTGGATCTTAAAAATTGATCATATTTTTTTGAAACAAGTTAGAGTATGACAAAACAGACTGTTCTAAAGTTTATTTTTCTTGGTGAAACATACAGCAACCAATGTTAATAATGATATTTATGATAATCACATTACATTAACTACAACGCAAATTGTGATCCATATATACTTTCCATCTTTTATATTATTGCTACTATTTCACTTGTCAAATTTGAAGAACCCTCGTTTATGAAATAATGGACATATAATAATATGATTGATTGTCATTTTAACATTTAAACCTTTTATCAAAATATATGGCTACATATATTGTATTTTTTTATCATTTTTACTATTATAATGACTGTGTGCATGTTGGATTCTGTTTTAATTATCATAACACATTCTTTTATAATTGGTTCAATGTTAAGTGTATTTTGAATTGATTTTTGTTTGGCACTTGTTTATTATGTTAAGTCCTTTTTTCATAAAATATTCGTTTTTGCCTTTTGTATAAATGAAGATGTTGACTCTCTGTTCAACTTAATTGAAATATTTTTTTCTTCAAAAATAAGAGTTTAATAAACAATTGCAGTGACATAAAATCATTTCCTGAACAATATTTGTTGTTACTTTTCATTAATAAAAACATGAGATGTGTAATTTAATATTGTTTATTGTCAATCACATTGTTATTTTAATTTTTATATAGAAGTTTGTATTCAAGCCACTTTTAAAATAACACTTGACTCACCAAATAAAATTGAAAATATCACCTCAAAATCAGCACAGGCGACTAAAAATTATCAATAATTGATCCAGTATATAAAAACTTACTTAAAGAAAAATGAAAATGAAAAAACTCAAAAAATTGTTACGATTTAGTGCCAAACAATGAAGAGTAAATCATGAAATTTGTTGACATTTAAAATATTTTAAAAAAATTTGCAATAAATATTTTTTTTAATGAAAAGATTAATTTTATCTTTTTTGAATGTTTTTATTATTCATTTTCAATAACAACCATAAATTTAAATTTATTTTTTTATTCTTTTTTAATATTATCAAAAGATGTTTTTGAAATTATTCTTGACAAATTCTTTTTGAAAATATACCTAACTTCGAGTGAACGAAAAATTAAGCTTCTTTGATCTTAAACAAATTCATTTGTAATTTCTATAGAATTGGAAAAATAAGAACATCGTTAAAACAAAAATACTTTGATTTTATTAATTACTTTCAAATTGAATAATAAACAATCAAGATATAATTTATTTACTGAACATAATTGTTTCTTATTTCAATTGTTATCAATAAGGCATCATATTTATTGACAATATATATGAACTTAGACACTTTAATATTTTTGTTACCAGATCGTTTTTTTACTTCAAAAAGAGAAAAGTTATTTATACATATACAACTTTTATCAATTGAATTAATACAATGAATATGTCGAAATAATGATTATTTTGTAATATCACAACCTTCTATTGTTGTTGTAATTTTAGAAATAAGATTTTTTTGGTGTGGAAATGGAATTTGATTTATAAAGACAAACAGATTTGGTATATATTAATTTGTACATTATCTTACATAAATTGTATTTCATATAGCATTGAAAATGTTTATAAAAAATTCAAAATGATCAACACCATTTAAACAATACAACACATCAATTAGAGTTAACACACCTCCAAAAAAACTTTTGCAAGTCTGCCAAAGGAGTAAAAGGAGTTTCCGAGTTAAGACAGTGATAGAGTGGTTCAATTACAGCACCAACTGTTCGAAGCTTCAACGCAAAAGCTTTGTTAAGTTCTTCTCCGCTCAATTCAGATAGTTTAGTTTCTTTACTTCGTTCAACAATTGCAATGACATTTGCTATATGTTATAGTTTATTAATTAATAAGTATTACATATAAAACGTTCGAAGAGTAAACAAGAAGAAGTACAAACCAATAATTGGCACCTTTGTTCCTGTATATTCAGAGAAGTGTTTATTATAGAACTTCGTTTGTGAAATTCCAAATATCATTTGAAGGCGTTTGAACTTCTCCGCCTGTGTTTTACCGATGTTTTGCCACTCCTCTGCGAACTTCAAGATCAGTGAGTTGATCGACGTGAACAGTAAAAACGCGTTGTTGTACTCCCCACACAACACACACTCTTCGCTGACATCCACAAAGAACTCAAACGTTTTTCTTTTCTTTTCTGACCCAATCAGAAAAGCCTGTGTGATATATTCAATACAACTGATTCTCTTCGAGTAGATCTTAAAATTGTCGCTTTGGTCTAACACGTCTCCAACTGTCAATCCTTTCATGATCCACTTATCAAACACAAAGAGTTGTTCCGCAAAGAGTCTGGGCTTAATTTCTATTGCGTTCTTTGTCTTCCCTTCGACCTCTATGACTTGCTCAAAAACACTGTCTTTCAACTTCTCGTCTTTGCACTCCACCATGATCTCTCCCATTGAAAGAAGTTTTTGTGGGAGTACCGGGCTTTTTCCTCT